TAGCAAATGAAAAACCCCATCCATCATAGGCAACACATCTGAGCTGGGTGCTAGAGAATCATGTCACTAGAATGTCAGTGATCTATAATTTTTAGACACAGTTGGGCCAAAGTAATGGCCTATCCCCTTTCCTTTGTAAATGGTTTAACTGACTGTCACAGTTTTAATACACATGAATTAGTCTCCTGAAATAATTCAGGGAGCTCCAGGCATGGCTGTAAGGCCCAATGCTGAAGAAATCAGGGAGCGGGCAAGGGTACTGAATCTTGAGTCTTGAGTGCACTACCCACAGAGGCAGCAGGTGGAGATTTGCTTGGAGGGATCTGGAGAGTTCTTGGTAAAAATTATTCTCTGAAGCACAGTTCTCAAGGACTCAAGGCAAAAAGCAATGAAAATGAGGTTGGTGTGGTGCAATTTCAAATAAGCAGACTGGCCTGCTGTAGCCCACAAACATATTTGCCGAGGGAATGGGTTATGCCAAAAGGGGCATGATTCAGACGGCCAGCGTGAACTTGCTTGTGTGGGTGAGCTCTTCAGTACACAGGAAAGGTGATTTCACCATGGAAGAAAGTAGAGTCTGAGAGAGCCAGGTACTGGGAAGTGACTAAGGAAATGGGAAAGCAATAAACAAGCATGCTGAGTGCAGAGGCACAGAAGGCGAGCTGATCTGGTGTTGATTTGGGTCTACACAAACCACCAACATGCAGATGAGGCTGCTCAAATTCGCTTACGTTCTGATATTTTACACATAAACTCTTACCGTACATCTCCAAAGCATAAGAACATGTTTGTGCATCTTGTCTGATAAACTGAAATGGTTGAGCACTGCTGTTTTCTGGATGGGGTATGCTAGGCATGGTGAACAGAGTTCATGTTCTTTTGGTTGGTCTGTGAGACATCCAAATCACATGCTGTCTTATTACATCCATACGGCACGCTAAAGTAATGCAGGTGAAGTTCATGTGCTGTGGGAGGCAACAAACGGAATTTCAGGGGCTGGAGAGATGGCTCAGCAGTTAAGAGCACCAGCTGCTGTCCTGTTGCAGAGGACCGGGGTTTGGTTCCCAGCACCCACATGGCAGCTAACAACCATTCATAACTCCAGGTCCAGGGGATCTGATGCCCTCTTCTGACCTCCACAGACATTGCATGACACAGGTGCACTTACATACATGCAGTCAAT